TGTGGGAGCTTCCATTGAATCTGGTTGCACATGCCCGTGACGTCAAATCTCTATCGAAGTATAAAAATCCATGTTCGTGACGCGTATGGTGGCTCCAGTTGAACCAAAATCTTATAAATTGTTCATGAGTGTTTTAAGCAGTTCAAAAAACTCGTAGATCATGTTTTATCAGGTATAAAAGCACTCGGCTACGCCTCGTGCTTTTATACCTGATAAAACACTCCTACTTGTTTTTTAAACACTACTTATCAAACTCATGAATAATTCATGAGGAAAACACAACAGAAATCACAACCATGAAGAGTGATGTAAATCTGATACAAAACTGTGTTCATTTGCATAAACTTTAAGTTGGATTTTCTTGGCCAAATTCACTTTAATTTTGAAAATTTTAGTGAAAYACAAAGGAACTAACCTAGACGTTTGATAAGTCATATACAGTATTCRTGTCCGTGTTGTATCAGATATACAACCACGAGGCGTAGCCGATCTGATACAACACAGCCACTCATACTGTATATATTACTAAAATTATAAATCAAACTAAAAATTTAACTATTTAAATGAAATTGTAATAATAATATTACAATAAATAAAACATTAATATATCTGCAAATTTAGGAAAAGTCTATTTTATGAATGGCTGAACTAAATAAGTTACTGTTTTTGTAAGATTAGTTTACATTTTTGATGGTTTATTTTTCCAGAATGCTGGTCTTGTGACTGTCACCAGCACCCCAATGAATGCAGGGCCCCAGCTGCGGCAACTTCTGGGTAGACCATCCAATGAGAAGCTACTGATGTTGCTTCCGGTGGGTTATCCTGAAAAGGATGCAAAGGTGCCTGGCTTAAAGAGAAAACCACTGGATCAGATAATGGTGCTAAAGTGAAARCTATAACTGCACTGTTGCAGTATTCTGGTTAAATGACTGTAAAGGTATAATGGACCATTCATTTTTTTACTGGGGAGGGGAGGGTAGAAGGATTTTATTGGCAAACAATGCAAAGAATCAGACCTGTTCTCTGTAAATGAATTTGAAAAACGTTCATATGCTGTGCAACTTGAAATTTTTCTTTGTAACACCTGGCACCAAATACCACATTTAACCTGTAAAAAAAATGAATGGTCCCTTATAGACATTTTTACCTTGTAAAGTTTACCCATTTTAGGCCATATA